CACTAACAATATCATAGTCAAGAACAATACACTAACAGTACCATAGTCAAGAACAATACACTAACAGTACTGTAGTCAAGAACAATACACTAACAGTACCATAGTCAAGAACAATACACTAACAATACCATAGTCAAGAACAATACACTAACAGTACCATAGTCAAGAACAATACACTAACAGTACCATAATCAAGAACAATACACTAACAATACCATAGTCAAGAACAATACACTAACAGTACCATAGTCAAGAACAATACACTAACAGTACTGTAGTCAAGAACAATACACTAACTGTACCATAGTCAAGAACAATACACTAACAATACCATAGTCAAGAACAATACACTAACAATACCATAGTCAAGAACAATACACTAACAATACCATAGTCAAGAACAATACACTAACAGTACCATAGTCAAGAACAATACACTAACAGTACTATAGTCAAGAACAATACACTAACAGTACTATTGTCAAGAACAATACACTAACTGTACCATAGTCAAGAACAATACACTAACAATACCATAGTCAAGAACAATACACTAACAGTACCATAGTCACGAACAATACACTAACAATACCATAGTCAAGAACAATACACTAACAATACCATAGTCAAGAACAATACACTAACAATACCATAGTCAAGAACAATACACTAACAATAACATAGTCAAGAACAATACACTAACAGTACCATAGTCAAGAACAATACACTAACAATACCATAGTACGGCACAACATACTAACAATACAATACTGACAGTATACTTTTGTCAAGAAAAATATTGAACAGAATGGTATATGCTCACTGCCAAAAGAAACACAAACCATAGAAACGTATAGGCAAGTCTGTACGTTATGAAGAGATGTTTCCAATATGTACCACTTAATGACAAAACTAACCATAAGTCAAGTGTTACCACAGAGTGTCTTTATTCTTATCACGATACACTGCACGTGATTTCCAAACTTTACACGCTAATCCTGCACGAGACAAATATTAATGGTGCATCTCAAGTCATGGATCTATGACGTATCAATTGATGCGTTCTTGAGCGTCGGTTCACACAACATACCAATATCTTCGCGTCTCTTTTGGCGGTGAGTATATAATGGTAATAACGCCGCTAAAAAACACCACGACATATACAGTTATTTTACACTGTGCAACTTCATCTGCCGTAATTATAATGTACAAGACGAACACCAGTCGAGCTTAACGCATGCCCCTAATAGTCAGGGCGTCGCCATACCACCTTGATTGTGATAACTTAACATGTGTTAGGATTCACATAACATAAAAACATGCCTATCTGCAGCGCGATCACATTACCTGTGTTGTGGGACACTGCTGACTGTAACCTCTTGGTGATGTGTGACTGAATGCCCGAGTCGCAGTCACTCAACCCCAATCCCGGGAGTGCTTCCCACTTAGGCGACCACTTCCAATACAACGCAGGCTAATGAGGCAACCTACAAGTAGGATTAATTGCTTTACCAGAACTCGGTGGGGGGTGACGCATTGTATCGGTGCTAAGTAGACCAAAGATCTTACATGTAGTTTATTTTCTCATTGTTATATCATTACTCTTAATATTGTGTTTTGGGTACATCGGATGGTTAACGAGCCTATATTGTGTGGAGCATGGTGGGAATATACAACTTGACACCATATATTACATATTTTTCAATATTGTTGTATCAGTGCTGCGTCTCGCGGACACCCGTGTGCGAAATCGGAAGCACTGGAAGAGCTTGTAAAATCTACCACACGAGGTGACGTACAGAATTCACTATATTCAAACGTATCATATTCTTTCTAGGACGCAGTATTACAGATAAAACATTCTTCGTCATGTTATATAAAAAGGATGAGGCTTCTTGATAACGACCCTTGTTATGTATATATTTCCTTAATTAATGCTACTTCTTTGATATGTTTGGTACAGATGAACACACAAGGTCTTTACAAACAAGTTTACAAATAGTAACTCCTTGTTTAGGGTAGAATACAGAATCACATGTTCGTCAGTTGCCATGGCAACTCCGTATTCACGTACAGTCATAGGGCATAGTGTAAAGTAATGACTGGATTTTGAAATGGAATTTGGATTGGAATACTGGAATGGGAATGGGAAAAAATGGAATATACTCATCTCACACTGAAAACAAACAGAAAACAGATACTTATTGACACAACAAAGTGAAATGTATTGAGAGTTTGTAAAAGGCTTCCCACATTGCCGTAGAGACTTGTGCAAGATTGGTCTGTTACATTTGTAATAATGGACAGACATTATAGATTCCTTTTGTTTGACGATAATAAACATGATAAATATCAAATAAACCAGAATATATCGTTTGGTTTTTTACACGGTGTTCTGTTGCGCCTCCTTAGATTATCATAAGTTATTAGATACTGTGTTGAAAAAAATGGTGTTTTTTTCATCTAGGTGTGTCTCCTCTCCCTCAGCACTGGTGGGGGCAATGGCTAATGAGAGAAACTGACACCCACGTCCCCCGTAACTTATCTGCCATATAAGACCTGTGAAGATCCGGGGTAGAATAGGTCTTCAGCAACCCATTCTTGCCGTAAAAGACGACTATACTTGTCGTAAGAGGCGACTAACGGGATCGGGTGGTCAGGCTCGCTGACTTGGTTGATGCATGTCATCGTATTCCAATTGCGTGGATCGATGCTCATGATGTCAATCACCGGATTGTCTGGGTCAGACTCGATTATTTACATACCGCCGTCATATAGCTGGAACATTGCTGAGTGCGGAAACAAACAAACAAACAAACACATATTTGCCATATGTCGGTGACAGGTGTTTATAAACTGTCTTAGCATATTAGACTTGGGACTTGTTTGTAAATAGGGTATGTTCCATTTGTCTCATTTAAAATTCCATTCCAGTATTCAATTTCCACTCCAATAGCCATTCCATACTTTACACTACACCTAGTCATGGGCCCTTCGATCGGGTTCAAGTCCGGTCTCATTCAAAGAATCTTTTCATTTCTCTGTGATTTTAATGTATTTTTTGTTGATTTTAACTGTTTGGCTATTCTTTCTGATCATCCCAAGTAGCCAGGGTGGTGGTGTAAATCATGTACCATGTAGGTAGCAGAAGTACTGTAAGCCCCCATGGTCCCTAGTATGGTGGCCTAACTTTGGTTGCTGTCGATCTACAGCCCGTTTTTATAATGTGTCGTCTGTTATAATCTGATCATTTTATTGTTCTAAAACTAGTTTTGTAATTATAATTTGTGATATATTGCAAGTTGTTGTTTACGACAGGTTGTTGCTGTTGTTGTTGTTGACTACAGGTGTTTATATATAATATAAATGCTGAACTTGCTCAAGTGACGATATGGCTGAAATAGTGCCGATGTGACTTTAAATATTAACTCACTCTCTCACTCACTCGATCGGGTTCAATCATGGTATGTTTATGTTTGTGGTTGTTAGGACAACATTATTAAAGCCATTCCCACGAACAACTGGGAATATATAATATACAGCTTTTTTTCAACTCTGCGATGACAAAATCTGTGCTGGTTATTGTGACGCATGCAGCTGTGGGTGACACGAACAATCGATGATGTTGATGGGTTCAGGAAAGCTCTTAAATTGGGCAATGCAAGTGCCTCTCAACGCGACCGCATAAAGGAAAATTTGTTTGTGTTCAAGAAACTCCTCGACTGCACAATGAATTCCCCTTTCGCCAAGCCCTGTCGTAAACATACCTGTCACACAGATCAATTTCCCTCTTAATTCTATGTCAACATGTCTTCATGAGATTTTATCTATAAATTTCAAAGACAGGTGCGTGCGGGAGAAACGCTTTCTCCAGATACCGATCACGTTTGTCTATATGTCACGTGGTACGTAGATGTCTGCGTTTCCGCAGTGAGAGGTCTTAATTGGCAGTGATTTTAGGATTGATTTTCAACAATCATGTTCACGAACTTTAATTATCTTGATAGGTGCAAACTGTCGAGCTTAATGTTCGATCAGCACAACACAGCGATGTTAGAGGAACGTACGTAACACTAGTACAGACACTTTATGAGTTTGTCTTCGTGAATAAGGACGACCCCCAAACATGGATCTTTTGTTTAACCAACATGCAGACTACATGAATTTTGTTTCAAAGTAAGGTGAGGTATGGCGTTTAACGTCGTACGTCGTATTCAAGGTTATTGTATGCATATAGCGACGTGCCCGCATGTGTGCTTAAGTACTATTAGTCCGGACTAAGGGTAATGCAGGTTTTAGCATGCTAACCCACTTAGATAACATTTAACATGAATAGTTTAACATGAATACCCCAATCAGACACAGCATAATGACCCCGAGACGACCAGTCCTTGTTTTATCCCCTTAATGTCGAGCGCCAGGCAGGGTAACATCTTTCAAGTTATTTTCGTATGACGTGACCGGGGATCGAACCACCGACCTTCCGCCCAAAGTTTGCGATAATTCAAACACGCACCAGTGATGCAAGAATCGAATTTGGGTGAGCGAGTAGAGTTTAATGCCGAGTTTAGCAATATTCCTAAAAATTGTTGAATATGTTTTATTGTACCAATGTGGAGAATCGAACCCCAGTCCCCTATAGCGCCCGGGCGAATACTTCCACCACTAGGCTACCCCACCGTCGCAAGGCAATTTGAAGGAACCTAACTGTCGTTCATCTTGTTTGCGATATGTCACTATGGGAGTCCTGAAAACGATTCGTCTGACTTACAAATATCAGCTATATTTCCTGATGATATGAGTGATATGTAAAACTAAGATATGATCAATTTACTTTCTAAATTGGTATTATCCGATTTAGACGAATACGTGTTTGATAAAGTATCTTACCTTCTAGTTGATATTGTTTACTTATTCGAGTAAACTGTTGTCCATGTAAATAAATGTTGCCTTTCGTTTACGGAGCTGGTTGCCGACAGACGACACCGCACTACACTCACCTAACGCCTTCTGAAAACCCGGGGGAGCAACGAATAAGAAGGCAACTCGACCGTGATAGAGTTATCTCCCTTCTGATCAATCTTTCGCAGTGAAAACATGCGGCGGTTACCGTGTTTGACGTGTGTTATTCAAGTCTGAATATAAAGTGCAGTTTCAAAGGACATGCATTGGGAAATCGACAGAATCACTTGTGGCTAAGAATGGATTGTGCTGTGACAGATGACATAGTTGGCTGAATGCTTCTGAATTGCAAATGTGCCCCAGTGACATTAGAGTGTATCGGTAACCATGGTCACGCGAGGAAGTTGTGTGTTGACGGTACCAGACATGCCAGACCTGACGACATGGAATCACAGACGCACACGGTTATTGTCGATATCTATGTAAATATATAAAATAGTGGAAAGAATATTACCCACCTTCATATTATGTCGTAATTTCGTTCATACATTCTCCAAATACCACTTATGAAATTAGCATACCGTAAACACACCCACCCACCCCAAACAAAACAAACATTACATTAAAAAAATAAAATTAAAAAACCCAATCATTACATTGTACGTATTTTTCTAAACTGTACTTTTTTCATTAATGGGTTCGACTTTTCATTTTTAGACGTCCAGACATTACCTTTATGCTGACTTATTCTCTACGTACAGAGGCATCTACTGACTTCGTTATTTTCATTTTACTCTATATACTAGTACTTACTTAATTTGGAGATTTAACGTGCGCTTTCCGACTGATGCGTATTTCGCACACGGTATATACTAGTATCACTGACACGGAATTTTTCACAGGTTGGTGCGTCCACTATAATCTCTCTTACGGACGCCTGAGCATATATTCAACATAAAAAACATTCACCCTATTCGATCTTTATCCCCTTCTCAGCTCCAGCAGCCTATACTCACCCCCTTCTCAGCTCAAGCAGCCTACACTCATCCCCTTCTCAGCTCTAGCAGCCTATACTCATCCCCTTCTCAGCTCCAGCAGCCTATACTCATCCCCTTCTCAGCTTCAGAAGCCTATACCCATCCCCTTCCCAGCTCTAGCAGCCTATACTCATCCCTTCTCAGCGCCAGCAGCCTATACTCACCCCCTTCTCAGCTCTAGCAGCCTACACTCACCCCCTTCTCAGCTCTAGCAGCCTACACTCACCCCCTTCTCAGCTCTAGCAGCCTACACTGACCCCCTTCTCAGCTCAAGCAGCCTATACTCATCCCCTTCTCAGCTCTAGCAGCCTATACTCATCCCCTTCTCAGCTCCAGCAGCCTATACTCATCCCCTTCTCAGCTCTAGCAGCCTATACTCACCCCCTTCTCAGCTCCAGCAGCCTATACTCATCCCCTTCTCAGCTCCAGCAGCCTATACTCATCCCCTTCTCAGCTTCAGAAGCCTATACCCATCCCCTTCCCAGCTCAAGCAGCCTATACACACACCCTTCTCAGCTCAAGCAGCCTATACTCACCCCCTTCTCAGCTCTAGCAGCCTACACTTATCCCCTTCCCAGCTCAAGCAGCCTATACACACCCCCTTCTCAGCTCTAGCAGCCTACACTTATCCCCTTCCCAGCTCAAGCAGCCTATACACACACCCTTCCCAGCTCCAGCAGCCTATACTCACCCCCTTCTCAGCTCCAGCAGCCTATACACACCCCCTTCCCAGCTCCAGCAGCCTATACTCATCCCCTTCTCAGCTCTAGCAGCCTATACTCATCCCCTTCTCAGCTCCAGCAGCCTATACCCATCCCCTTCTCAGCTTCAGTAGCCTACACTCATCCCCTTCCCAGCTCTAGCAGCCTATACTCATCCCCTTCTCAGCTCTAGCAGCCTATACTCACCCTTTCTCGACTCTGGCAGCCTATACTGACCCCCTTCCCAGCTCTAGCAGCCTATACTCATACCCCTTCTCAGCTCTAGCAGCCTATACTCACCCTTTCTCGGCTCTGGCAGCCTATACTGACCCCCTTCTCAGCTTTGGCAGCCTATACTCATCCCCTTCTCAGCTCTAGCAGCCTATACTCACCCCCTTCTCAGCTCTGGCAGCCTATACTCAACCCCTTCTCAGCTCTAGCAGCCTATACTCATCCCCTTCTAAACTCCAGCAGCCTATACTCATCCCCTTCTAAACTCCAGCAGCCTATACGCATCCCCTTCTCAGCTCTAGCAGCCTATACTCATCCCCTTCTCAGCTCCAGCAGCCTATACTCATCCCCTTCTCAGCTCCAGCAGCATATACTCATCCCCTTCTCAAGTCCAGCAGCATATACTCATCCCCTTCTCAGCTCCAGCAGCCTATACTCACCCCCTTCTCAGCTCCAGCAGCCTATACTCATCCCCTTCTCAGCTCCAGCAGCATATACTCATCCCCTCTCAGTTCTAAGTTTAGAAATTAAGAGACTTGTGGTTTCCTTCATTCTCGAGGGTTTTGTTTAACCTTACACGTAACTTTATTTCCGGGACTAATGTCAGTCTACGTCCAGTCCACGTATATTGTCACCATATGTGCAGGGACAGCGTCACTCCTGGAGAAACGAAACCTATGGAATACAAACCATGACGGTCGGTGCAGCCTATACAAGGACATTACTGAATGCTCGATACACGCAGTGGGATACGATGCCATGCATCAACTAAATCAGCGAGCCTGACCACCCGATCCCGTTAGTCGGCTCTTACGACAAACATGGGTTGCTGAAGACAAATTGTAACCCGGATTTTCACGGGTCGACTGTGAACTCACTATATGGCCTCCGTATTGCACCGCCAAATTTCAACCTCTTCTTTAAACTTGACGAAAGAACTGCCTGGGAAGTATTATGCAAATGATGATGACGTCATGTCTGCTGTAGAGGACACCACCTTACACACCTGTGGGATCCCGGCACTCCAACATCGCTGGCGAAAGCGTATAGATCTCGGATGGGATTATGTTAGCAATAAAATATTTAGCAACCAACTCCGTCAAGTTGTAAGGCTCGCGCTTCAAGCAGCCCCCGTATGTACTCGAATCTGCGTTTTGAAATAAATTTCATTTCCGCTTCATTAATTATTTTTCTCTTCTAAAATACGTGATCAGCCTATATAAGATAGCTATGCGATAAATCGCAAAGAGCAATGAAGAACGAAGCGTGGTTGATTTAAGAAATTAACGACTCGTGGCCATTGTTTATCGTACAATAAAACACTCTAGGGGGAATAAAACATGCGGGTTTATTCTCCCTGCAGTGTTACAATGTCTCTATATACCTATAGGACGCCCTTGTGGGATGTATAGACTTTGTAGCTGATGTCATTCACATGGATTCTGCTCAACTGTTTAGGAGGTAGCCAATACTAAACGAGCGATTATAAATGCGGAAACTGATATCCAATATTAAATGTAAAAGGAGATATATATTCTGATGTAAAGTCCTTGGCGATTCGAATCCGTTTTTCTTAAGTGGTAGACCGAAACATTCATTATTGGTGGACTGACAGGATCGGGTGGTCAGACTCGCTGACTTTGTGGATGCATGTCATCGTATCCGTAGTGATCGATGCTCATGTCAAAATTCCGCCTGTATCTTGTCCGCGTGGTTTGTTCGCTTCTATCGCTTGCCTCCTTCCGCGTGTTTTGTACGTGTACTCGTATATAAGAGAAAAAAACAAATAACAAATGGGGGAGATGTGTGGTGCCATATTTTAAAGCGCCGCATCTCGCAATGTAGAGTTACGCCCCTTAGACGTTGCGGGATCTGATGATTGTAGATTCGATTCGGCTCAATTAGGATTGCTTGACTGTAAGAATTTAACCCGTGTTCATGGCTTTCCCTCCAAAGAATATGACACACCGTGACATAGCTGAAGTAAAACAAATGCAATCACTTCATGCATAACGTAAATAAAAGCGACAAACCCCTTTCCATATTCAATAGAAGTGTCTGCTAAAAGCTGAGTCAATTGTAGGATTCCGACTATGTCATGAGAACGTGTATGAATCACAATCAAATAGTGATGATACCAGGTCTTCGCGAAACTATGAGCGTATCCTGCACCACCAGTGGCACCCGTCACAAACACATGCAAAGGTAAGTCAATTGTTCACCTGAATAAAGACGGGAAAATATCTTACAAGTAGAAAAAGGGAATTGCATCGGACATCATTTTTGTTACTGAAGCGTAAAATATGGAAATGTCTTTCACATGTCTACCATAAAACGTTTTGAAAGCTTTACTGAGGCCTTGAATGTTGTAACCTCGATCAAACAACTTCTGAGCAAGAGTAACGCTCTTGGTGGAAAGAGCATGCTCAATTGTACCTCAAAAGTTGTGACTTGTAGACACCAAAGGCTGGAGCTGCTGGAATATTGCTTTACACGAAGGGAAAGTTGACTATTGGAAAGTTGAAGTCACCCTCTTGTCATACAGTCTTGTGGAGAGTGTTTCGTCACTGTGAATCTTATGCATAGATCTAAATATGAAACAGATGAGGCGGTCTCACTGGTCTCCTTTATTTATAGTCCTGGGACCCGTTCCACAAAGTGATCTTAGCGCTAAGTCGATCGTAACTCCCATTCTTTAACACTGACTTACGACAATCGTAGCGCTAAGTCGGTCGTAACTCCCATTCTTTAACACTGACTTACGACAATCGTAGCGCTAAGATCGCTTTGTGGAACGGGGCCCTGGTGGGTAAATCAGTGGAAGGGAGTGGCTATTTGATGGTTATTGAACAATATCAGATCATCCATATACCTGAAGCTTAGTTAAACGTCTTGGCCAAATTACCCCGTTTTGACGTTGCCAATGCGAGCAGAAATTCCGATTAATATGCATAAAGACACATGACTGGAGCGCATGAATATCTCATTAAATGCGTCACCAGCGCCTGAGTCTTAACTTCATAGCTGAGATAACAGTGATCAATGTACTGTAGAACCAGATGACATCCAGCCCACGTAACACTGGGTGTTTTGTTTGTTGTAACGCCGCAGACCCGTGAAGATCCGGGGTATAATAGGTCTTCAGCAACCCATGCTTGCCGTAAAAGGTGACTATGCTGTCGTA